AAAAAAAAAAAAAAAAAAAAAAAACTGCGTTTGAATTTAATCCCCCAGACTACACTACATTTCTGCAACAGCAGTGTGAGGAGATCAAGGAAAGAGTTTGCTAATATATTTATTTTAACGTGCATTTCAATCTCCAATGTTACAAACTTTTTTTTTTTCTTTTCAAATAAAAGAGTGGTTTCAGTTTACAGGGTTTTCGCAGGTCCTAATGAAGTCTTAAATTTAGTTGTCAAATTTTAGGACATAAAGAGTCTTAAATGGTATAAGAAAGTCTTAATTATGATTTCAATATGCCTTAAATTTGGGGACGGAAAGAGCAGAATTGCGATATGGCTTAGTGTGACGATTGAACTTCAAAAGGCTGTGATTTCATTAAATAATCATGAGCTCTGCACATTTCAGAGTCAGGTGACGATTGAACTTCAAAAGGCTGTGATTTCATTAAATAATCATGAGCTCTGCACATTTCAGAGTCAGGTGTTGCTCTGTTTTGTGTACAGCCGTTACCTGGGAAACCGCTGTATTTCTGCCATTCCAAAAGCTCTACCTGTCAATTTGCATGTTCAATAAGCCCGTCTGCTGTTTTTGTTCAGACCAAAGCGAAAATCAATGTTATTTAATGAATATAATAATTGATACTTTGATCCATTTTCTGGATGGTTTACAGGCTGAAAGTTTAGTTTATTATTTTATAAAACTTTGTTTTTGTGAAACCTGTATTTGAACTGTAAATCACGCTTTTTAGTCATTTTACAGTTTAATATGTTACCATAGACACTGCCCTACCCCACTCATTTGGTATTAACTTTGTGCAAATTTCTGCAAAACTGGGAAAAGAAAAAAAAAGAAAAAAAAAAAAAAGAAATTGTGACTACTTTCTTCGCTTAAGAAATCAGTCAGATGGCAGGAGTGGAAGGGGGATCAAGCAGGATGTTGTGTTGCTGTCAATTTGCAGTCTCGTTTTAATGATAGCCCTTATGCATTTGTCAATCCTCCATGCTTCCTATTTGGGGAATGAACTCAGCACTCCGATTGGTTGAACTCTTCTTCTTTTGCTGTTGCTTGATTAGAGTACTGCGCGTGGACAGAGGCGTCACCAGGTTTTTGCGTAGCTTAGAGTGACAAATCGTACTAGCATACTTTGAGGTCAAAATGCATACCCGCTACGCAAAATGAGTACAAGGCTGGCAGGTCTGAAAAAATGACAATAAAATTTCTTTCAACTTTCAACTAATCAGACTCAGGCGTACCCGTCATACGCTCCACTCACGATCCGCTTGTTATCAAAGCGAATACAGCGAACAAGTTCCTCGTGCCCTTCCAAAACCCGCAAGCAAGCTCCACACTCAATATCCCACAGCCTGGAGAAAGAGATTAACACAAATTTTGTGAAAAAAATAAAACATACAAGTAAAGAATACTAACTGGCTGAATCCATTTTTGATTTTTTGCACATTATTTTAATTAAAACTCGAGAATTAGTTTTATTGTCATTACATTAAAGAACACCTAAACTTAGTTCAAGCAGAATGTTTTGAACAAAGTATCTTATGCTCACAAAGGCTACATTTATTTGATCAAAATACAGTAAAACAGTAATATGTGAAACATGAATGATTATCATTAAAAAAAACTCTTCTATTTGTAAATATTTTAAAATGGAATTTATTCTTGTGATGCAAAGCTGAATTTTCAGCCATTCCTCCAGTCTTCAGTGTCACATGATCCTTCAGAAATCATTCTGATATTTTTATTACATTATATAATAATAGAAAATCATTGCTATAACAACAACAACATTTTACTGTTAAAAGTGTACTTAATTGTCCTGGGCGAAATGTCACCTATATATTCGACACGTTTCTTGAAATTCACTCAACTACTATGAAACAAGCTTGAATGATTGCTTGTTCACACACACCTGATGGTGTTGTCTGAGGAGCCGCTGACCACAAGTCTGTCTCTGTACTGCAGGCAGGCAATTCCTCGCTTATGACCATTTAGTGTCCGAACAAACTCACAGGTGCTTGTACTCCACACCTGCAGAACACATTACATCACACAACAGGATTAAACATTAAACACATTAAATCTGTTCCCAATCACTGCCATCTTTCTTTAGAATAATCCACAGGCATATTTTATAAAATACCAGTACATTTAAACTCAGGAAGCCATGTGTGTGCACATGAGAAAACGCCTCTAGACATCTGCACACACCAGCCCTTACTGCCCTGCCTCATTATTTGGGGAATGTTTTGATAGGGTGGGGGATGCAGAAAGACTTGGCACCCCTCCCAGAGTGATGGGTGGGTTGGATCAGTGCTGGAATCCCAACTGCCCCGAATCCCGCATCTAGAGCGGCTAGAGAACACGAGTGCTGAAGGACTCTGGGCAAGAGCAGCAGACTATAGCGCTTCTGCAGTCTACAGAGAATTAAGAAAATATTACACTGCTGCCCTCTGCTGGGAAATTCTGTGCTTTGGACAAAACAAGCAGACAGCCGAATAGTCAGTAAAAGTCTAACTGCATGACAATATAGTCTAGTCCATTAAGCTTATTGTTGCCAAGAACCAACACACTTAGATAGGACAGGGTCTGAATGATATGTATCAGGGTATAATACATATGAAATCTGATAAAACTCTAAGAGCACTGATTTGTGGTTTGATTGACAGCTGATAACAGTCATTCAGAGATCAGAGTGCTGACCTTTATGGTCCGATCCCCAGAGGCAGAGACAATGTACTTGTCGTCAAAGTCGACCACATTGACGGCAGCCCGGTGTCCGACAAGGACCCGGCGGAGACTGATGTCAGTAGGAGAGGCCATGTCCCACACGGCGATGGAGCGATCCTTCGAGCAGGTGACCATCAGCCCGTTACAGAATCGCAGGTGGAGCACAGCCTCGTTATGATGGATCAAAGTGTTCAGAACCTCCCCCGAGTTCACATCCCACACTCTGGGTAAAAAGAGAAGGCAAGCAAAGTCAGACCTGATTTTATCAGTCCCTTATTCATTCCAGCTGAACAGACATGTGGAGTGATGGGGGGACTGGAAAAAAATGAACAGAGGACTTATAGAGAGTGAGAGAACGATAGAAATCTGACCTGACAGTGGAATCAGAGGAGCCGGTAACAATGACTCTCTCATCGTATTGCAGACACAGCACAGAGCCTGTGTGCCCCGTAAGGATCTTCAAACACTCCAGAGTCTGTTTATCCCATATCTATATGTGAACACATAAGACATCTTTTTACAATTGCAAACACCAAGAATTTCACAATGTCAAATATAAACTTCTGTTAACTAGATTAGACTCATCATTAAAAAATGTTTTGGCATAATTATGTCTTCAAGCCGGGACTCTTATAAAACATGTGAAGTTTAGGGCAGATTTGACATTGCTTGTTTGAGTTTGTGTAAAATATGCCAGTTCCTGTTGACAACAGACCTCAAAATTGTTAAACTTGGGGCGGATTGGACAATGTATGTTTGAGTTACAACAACTTCCAGTTTCATGCCATTAATATCATGTTTGAACAGTTAGCTAAATGTTGCTAGAATGGTTTAACATGTTTCTACCATGTTGCTAGCAGGGCTCAACATTAACGCTTGTCCGGGACATGTGGATTTTGCGAAGGGGCAAGTGGAAGAGAATTTTACTTGCCTGACCGGACAAGTAATAGGATTAAAACGTCAATAAACAGTAACTAGGGCAGCACTGAAACTTTGGCAAGAATGATTCTGATTTGATTAATTTCAGTGTAAACGGTGACTGATAACAGATAATTTATTGACAGTATCGAGGCTCTCGCAGCCTGTCTGACTTGCGGAAAAATCTGAACTAAACACACAAATGAACAAACATACTGCGGTAGAAAAAAAAAAAAAAAGATTCTATATAATATATGATGCAGGTAAGCAACATCACACGACCAAGAGTGATGTTTTCCCAACTATCAGCACAATTGCAAATGTGACATTGATTTTATACAACAGTAGTTCAATAAACAAGTATGTAATATTAACTGAATTACATGTTAGACACGTTATTGACAATTTTTGCTTCATTTCACTAATGAAAATAGTTCTAAGCAAAGCCACAGCAGAACAGTCGTGCATCTCCGAGCAACACACAACAGTGTTTCGATACAGAATGATTCTAGAAGTCCATAACAGTGTTAAACATGTCACTTCATGTTGCCAGCAGGTGGCGCTATGACTATAACTGAATATGGGCATGGACGTGTTCAGGACAGAACTCCTATCAAACGTGTGAAGTTTGGGGCAGATTGGACATTGTTTGCCTGAGTTACAGCAACTTCCTGTTTTATGGCAAAACATTGAAATTTGTCAGGCTGCCAGGGACACACTCTTCGACGAAAACTCAAAATATTCGCAATTTAGCATTGCAAAGGCCTTATGATTACACTCACCAAAATTGAAGATGATCCGATTAAAACTGTAGGAGGAGTTCGTTAAAGTATGAGGCCTGAACATGGCAAAAACTGCACAAAAATCGTAGAGGAAATTCAAAATGGCTGACTTCCTGTTGCGTTTAAGACTTCTCTCCAAGAGACTTTTTTGTAGGTATTGGGATATTACATGCATGTACCAAATTTCGTACACATACGTGAAACGTACAGTTGATGACCAATTCTGAAACCCATATCAGACATAAATTTTTGCCAGTTCTGATGAGTGTGCAAAGTTTTGTAAGTTTGAGCATGTTTAGGCCCTCAAAAATGTGATTCACTTTGGAGAAGAATAAAGAGCGATTCCAAGAGGGTCCTCGCAATAACTTTTTACTGGTATTGTCACCTACGACACATCCCTAGAGATACACTTGCTGAAATTCTCTCCCACAACAAGAGCAGTAAGATCATGGGACTTTACCACACAGTTTAGTACTAGGAGTAAGAAAATTTAACATACCCCTATATATAACCAGTATCAATAGTCACTGTTGCCTTAGAAAGTGTGACTTGAATCATTTCACCCGTTTCAATGTCCTCTCTATAGTTTCAGTATTATAATGCAGTAGGGGAGAGATTTGGTTGTGTAAATCTAAACCTCAAGCATGTTTCTGTTTAAAGGGCTTTAAAACTATCCCTCCATCCTAAATCCTCTTGTTAGCAGAATCCATGTTCCTCTAAACGGTCAAAAATCACACATTTGCAAAATGTGATTAAACACGTCATTAGCATAATTCACAAGAACACGCTTGAGGTCAGATGTGGTTTGTGTTTTTTAAATGACACCTGTGTAGTGATGCACTCAGACTGTGTGGTTTTTGCTGCTGATGACTTTACTAAACCCACAGGAGGTTCACAAGAAATACACTGGCAGAGCGCTGTTGCACCTTGATGGAGTTATCGCGTAGACCGCTGATGATCTTTTCGTCATCATACTGGAGACAGTAAACACCTTTGCTGTTCTCCGACCTACATTGGATCCTCTGCAGGTTATGTCGGCCACACCTCCAGTTTGCCTCGATGGTCTGGAAACAGAAACAGCAACGTCACATAAGCAATTTAGTTACTGCTAAGAGGCATATCTAATTTATTTGATCAAAAACGATTATGCATGGACATTAACTAAAAAAAATTGTCCCATTTCATCATTACATTTGAAAATGTAGTATTAAAATAGCTGATGGCTGCATACTCTGATTACTCAGAGGGCTGCTATGAAGACAAAGAGCTGGGTCACATGAGGCCTGCCGCCTACCCCTGAGGTGTAATCACTGGTCCTGCTCGTTCAAATGAACAAACAAACGCTCCAAGTTACTACCTTCCTTTCTTTAAAAATTCTGACATGAGCAGACAAGATCTAACATCGTATTACATTTATCAAAGGACAAGTGAGAAAGAAGTGATGGTTGCTTTGCCCACCTCAATGTCCTGAATGATTTTTGGATAAAGAGAGCGGTAGTATGAGTTTGGAGGAACTTCTGTTGTGCGGTTCTTGAACAGGTATTTTTCCCTGTGAAGGAAACAGCAATAAACATCCCTGATAAACTGACATAAACAAGCATCTTCATAATTCAAGGCCAAATAAGATGTACAAGACAGTCTAAATGGAGGTTCCCAGCATGTCTGGTGGAGAATTACACCACTGAAAGATAATGATCAGGTTGTTCTTAAACCTCATGTATAAATGAGGGGGTTTGGGGGGGATGTAAACAGTCATATCAGCACTGAGACTCACCACTGGTGTCTCTCTGAAAGGCCCTTCCACAGTGGGTCTGTCCGAACCATCCTCTCGATCAGCTTCTTCCACAACATGCCTTCGGATATCACACGCTGCCATTCTTTACACACCAGCTCAGCCGAACAAAGCGAGCGTGCGTCCAGGAAGGACAAGATGTTCTCCGCTATATGATCCAGACCCTGAGCTGGAAGACAAATTGAGATTGAGTTTAAATACCAGGGTGTAAGAGTTGAAAGCTACACAAGCAGGATTTCAGTGAAGAAGAAAAAAGAAAAAAAAAGTTAAAGAATATCTCATCTTTCTTAATGTCAGCATAAAATCACATTCACATACATTTTATTTTATTGCAATTGAAGCAATTTCAAATCAAGAGATACTAAAACAGGCCAAGACATACATGGTCTATTTAATCTTAAGGTTATGTTTTATAATGGAGTTGGGCATACCCTCCATCAAAAATAGCATCTTCAGAATAAGGACTGTGTGTGTTACCTGGCAGTGCCGTAATGAAGTCCCTTTGGAGCATGGGTTTGAGGTAGGAGTTTATGTGGCCATGTTGGTAATGGCACATTCGTGAGATCAGGTGTTCCACAAACTCCACCTGGTCCGCCTCAGACCACTGATCAAAGAGCTGGATGCACACGTCCTTCTCCTTCTCGTAATTTCCCTCTGACGGCCGCTTCCTAGAGCCTGTCAAGGGTCCATTACTCACCTGAGGACAGATAAAAGTAGGCTGGGAGAATCGTAAAAGGAAAAACAAATAAATAGATATATTAGATGAGACAAAAAAAAAATCTGTATTGGAAAGGATTGGGCAAAGGGAATATCTGAAACATACTAAAATACTATCATACTATTTCAAGGCAGATGCGTTTACTTGGCAAAAAACAGTGCTGCAGGTGCTCTACTATTAGGGTGCTTTCACACTTGGTTCGATTGCCTGGTCCGAACCTGAGTTTTATTGCTCCCCACTTCTTGTTTCCCCCGCTGCTTAGTAACAATGGCACAGGAGAAGGCGGCAAAATGCGTAGCATTGCTCTCTTCACTTTTATATTTGCTTTTGAACCGTTGGTTTGGTTTCCAAAGCTTCAGTTCATAACGGCACTTACAAACACATTTTAAAACTCTGTACCGGAGTTCACTTGAACCATAACCCAGATTACTCCTTTTAAGCAGACTCGGGTATGGTTCTCGGGTGCACTCCAGAGTTCGGAATACAGCGTTCACATCATCCAAACTACCAAACTCTGACGTCAATCGAACCGGGGGCACACCAAAAGAGCTAGTGTGAAAGCACTCTTAAAAGAGCCACATACAATTCCCGTCTTCATATGCAATAATAGGAGTTTCTACAAGAAATTCTCATGCTATTAATCCCAAACAACTCCTCACTTGATGTTCTGTACAAACTGTGGAACCCGAGCACTTAAGTGACACTTAAAAACATTTCAAGAAAACTGGCACAAACAAACTTTAAGCAAAACAAGATTGTTTGTTTCTTTGTAGAAAAGTTTAGTTAAAGATTCAAACACTTTCTGGTATTCAAAAGTCATGAGTCCTGACCTAATGTGTGGTTACTCTGCTAAAACATCTGTACCAGCTTTAGGGGAACTGATCTCATTCATTCACTAAAATACATTTGGTTTCATTAAAAGTAAACGCAAAAATGCCTCAGAAATGTAAAGTTAGCCCTGAGAAGGGCTGCAGATCATGCCACTTGGTTTCATATGAAATTACTGTTCAAAGGTTTGGGGTCAGTAAGATTTTCTTCTAAAGAAAGTAATACTTTCATTCAGCAAGGATACATTCAATTAATCAAAAATGATACTAAATAATTTTATAATGTTGCAAAAGAGTTAAATTATGTTCTTTTGAACATTCTATTCATCAAAAAATCCTAAAAATAAATAAATATATATACATATATATTAAGCAGCACAACTGTTTTCAACACTGATAATAATCAGAAATGTTTCTTCAGCAGCAAAGCAGCATATTAGAATGATTTCTGAAGGATCACATTATTACCGTTTTACTGTATTTTTGATCAAATAAATGAAACCAAGCTGAGCACAACGGACTTCAAAAACATTACAAAATCTAGCCCACACCAAATGTTTGAACAGTAGTGCAAGTGTCCAGATAAGTTGGGGGCCAATGTAATTATCCAGGACAACTAAAAAATGCAAGAGGAAACCTAAATACAGAAAAAAATAAAATAAAAGTCTGCGGAAATGAACACTGAGGTTTTCCAGGCGCAGATTAGGCCGTGCCCTACAACAAACCCCTAAGTCAACAGTACTTCAATATAGAACATCCTGCATAGTCCGGGAGAGGCTACTCAACAGATCCTTATTGTTGTATCTGTTTATTATTTTATCAGACTTTGACGCACTTCACTGAGATACAACTCGCCCACCTCACCTTAATCACTGTGATCTTTGGGGAGCGGTCTGCAGTCTGCGAGTCCATGACAGAGATGTTCTGCAAAAGAAATAGCATATTATTATTTTTTTTTTTAATAAATCAATAGTAATGTCTGCTTTTAAATCAAACTAAATAAAAAATTCAAAGAAAGGACCACAATATCAATCAGAACCACTCATATTCATAACCTACACAAGACGACCCTTTTATCATCTGCTCGTATACGTTCATAATCACATTGCATTGTTTCTTGGAAAGCAGATGAAAGGACTGAGCACCAGCCTACGATCTGTGTGTGCTGAATAATTGGACATATTCTCCATCAGCATGCAGCAAAGATGTGGGATCAGACAGGGCATGTAGGCGTTTGGGTAACGTGTCAACAGCTGTCCCCTAGCCAAGGCCACCACAAGGATATGCTTACATCCCAAATACAGCCACGATAGAGAGGATGCCATCCATATCGTTGCTCTTAATATCCACAACTCAGCACCTGCTTTCATTCGTAATCACTGTTCTTACCATTAATACCAGCCAAACTCTTTAGAAACTTAGGCTCTCTGGACTAAATAAAGACATACTGAAGCTAAACACTGACACCAGTGTTTTTTAAGCAACACTGAGAGAGTATTAGACTTTTTTTTATTAATATAAAAGTTTTTTTTCTTCTTTTTTAATTTTAGTTAACATTTTAGCATGTGTTTGAGTGTCTTTTTCATTTTTATTATTTTTTCTACAAAGTTTTAATTATTTCAGTTTTAGCTGTAGTTGCTTTTAGTACTTTAGTAAGTTAGACTAAATGAAACAACCTGAAAAACAAATAATGATGACAAAGTCTGGGATTCATCATTTCAAACCACCAGCAGAGCAGGAAGTGTAGATTTATTATGAGTCTCTGGATCAGTGTTGCCAACTGCTTTCAATTGAAAGTAGCTAAAACTGGTAGCTAAATGTCACTAGATGACATCATAATGGCAAATTCACTGATCTATATAAAGATGACTATAAATCAGTGGGCAAGATGAGAACTTGGATAAGGTTTGTCCAAGAAGTTGCTATATTTGTCCCTAAACTTTTGAAAAAAAAGTCTCAAAAGGGGTGGGGAAGTCGCTAAATCTAGCTACAAAATTGCTAAATTGGCAACACTGCTCTGCAGTCTATACACAAATCCACATTGCTTGTTATCTACAAGCAAAAGCCATTTATCTATCTTCCACAAGCTTCACAATACAAGCAGACAAACTCAAGTGCCTTCACTCCTACACTTTTCACAGTATCCATGGCAACAAGAAGCAAATCCACTCTGCAAAACTGATTCTATAATGTTATTGTATTGACTAGGAGAGATATTGATTCAGACACAGTCTTATTAATTAAGAGCACATTTAAACAAGTCATACACTTTTATTTTAAAGATACTATAAAAATGTTTCAAATTAAGAATAGCAATATTATATTCAAAATGAATAATGAGACTACACATGCAAATCAAGTTAGTTAAAAAAAATCAATTTTTATATCAAAAGCTGCGTGTTTAAGTAGTAAAAGACAATTTTTGAGGAATTTAGCTTATTTTTATCGTAAGTCTTTCACAGAATTACTGTTCAGAAAAGTGTGAAAGAAAAAAAAACAGTGCGTTTAATAAGAAAATATCGTAATTAGTTCGCGTAGGCTAATGGTTTGATGTGGTTAGCCACCTAGCCGCTTGCTATAAATGCTGCTTTCACATCAACAATGAACGTTTGTATTTCACAAAAAAAAAAATCCATGGCAACAAGAAGCAAATCCACTCTGCAAAACTGATTCTATAATGTTATTGTATTGACTAGGAGAGATATTGATTCAGACACAGTCTTATTAATTAAGAGCACATTTAAACAAGTCATACACTTTTATTTTAAAGATACTATAAAAATGTTTCAAATTAAGAATAGCAATATTATATTCAAAATGAATAATGAGACTGACTACACAAATCAAGTTAGTTAAAAAAAATCAATTTTTATATCAAAAGCTGCGTGTTTAAGTAGTAAAAGACAATTTTTGAGGAATTTAGCTTATTTTTATCGTAAGTCTTTCACAGAATTACTGTTCAGAAAAGTGTGAATGAAAAAAAACAGTGCGTTTAATAAGAAAATATCGTAATTAGTTCGCGTAGGCTAATGGTTTGATGTGGTTAGCCACCTAGCCGCTTGCTATAAATGCTGCTTTCACATCAACAATGAACGTTTGTATTTCACAAAAAAAAAAGTGTGGTTACAAAAACACAAATATTCACTTATCCAAACACGATTGTTGTATTAGCTGACGATATTTGTATATTCGCTCATCGTTCGGCTCAGAAACGTCATTTGAAATTGACAACACAAGCGGTTACTTCCTATTACGCAGCTTTAAAGTCTAGTTAAAATGTGCCCTGAGAAGTAAATGTTGCGTTATTGTGAATGAGACATTAATATTTTAAACACTTTAAAACATAGTTAAGTGTTCTGAGACTTTATATGAACCACAACTCGTCTGTGGAACCAAATTATAGGCAGGATTGAGTGGCGCAGAGGCGCCGCAGTGAAGCTCAAGGCACCGGCTAAAGTCGATGAGAGTCGGACTCACCACGATGCCGCGGCAGCTTCCCTTCCTTCGCCTTCACGACTAGCTCAATAAATATCCTGAGTCCTCACCGAGAACAACTGTTCGCCTTGTCTACTAACGTCTCAGCTGTTGTTTCAAGGGAAAGAAACAAGCAAGAGACGTGAAAACGACTAAGTGAGCCAGCAATACACAGTAGGGCCCTCCCTGTCAGCCGAGCCAGCCATTTCTCTCTCTCGGTCGGTCGCTCGCTCTCCTCACCCCTCCTTCTCCTCTCAACTCAGACGATCCCTACCCACTCCACAAGCTGGTTATATTCAACCAGGCTGCCCTTATAACCGCTAATATGGATTTCTAAACTCTTGCGAACATACTAGAAAATTATTTTCAAAGCACACCCGAGTACTCACCATCAGCTCTAAGGTTTTGTCCTCCATCTCCGGCTCCATGTTTGTTCCCCGAAACTCGCAGTGAAAATGGAAACCCCGCCCTGCGACACAATCGCGTCACGAAAAGAGGCGGAGAATGTAGGCTTGTGTCGAATTCTCCCATTGGCTGTCAAATAAAAAAACGTGCTGCAAATGGGCGTTGTCCGTGTTGTGATTGGATAATTTCTGCTGCTAAGGTACAAAGCGGGGACAGACACAGTACGTCATAATCGAAGGGGGATATTATCTGTAACAACATCCGTGGTTGGTCGACGAATGACAAAAAGGGTTTTATCCGTTTTGTAATCTGAACAGCGATTGGCTGCCGTCTAATGCTAGGGTAAAGAATGGGGTTATCCCCAATGATTCAGATATTAAGAATATTTCTGATTGTTTGCTGGTGACATCCATGCCTGCGGCCAAATGTTATAATTTTTAAGTAGGTCTAGACAATGTATTAAATTAGTAAACGCATAAAAATTCAGAATAATGTTTACCTTTGCTTTCCGGCTAAATTGCTTGTAATTGACTTCCTCCTCACCGTACAAGTGTCAACTTGGCAAGTTAAATAAGCTTGTCGAACTCATAAAACTAAACATAAGATTAAATATGCTGGCAAAATAAACAAGGTATAAGTGCAATTTGCAAACAATGAGAACGTTTAATGTCTGTGTCCACATGTAACAAATGACTTATACAAAATAGCTATGGATCAAAGAAAATGAAAAAATATACAACATAACTGCTAAAATATTGTGGGCCCCGTATTTCATTTAATTGTTTTCTCCTTTTACATGATTGAATTGCATGTTCGTTTTAGTAGGCGTCAAAACACCAACCATGCCACACTTGTTAAAGGTCCAAACTATTGATTTTCAGTTTGTCTTTCTAAAACCATTCTGTTAAAATATGACTGGACAAAATGGAAAGAACTTAGAGGCTTGTAATCTGTGGCGGGTCACAGACTCTGAGATGGGACTTTTTAAAAGGGAATTAAACAGCCAAACTGACACATACTCACTCACACATCACAGTTAACACAGTATAACCCCCCACCCCAACCCCATAATCAGTCCCAAAGGACATTCCCATGCATAAAGCCGAATACCAATGAGTGCTGAAGGCTCGAGCTAAGATTTTATGTTCGGAAACAGCAGGAGGCTGAAGTTAGGGTCCAGATGCTGGTACACTGTGCTGTCATATCTCACAAACTGCAACATTCAGGCACTCATATATAGTTTATTTTGAGAAGTAGCATCTCCTGGGGGCTGAGGAAAACAAGTGAGGGAAATGCACTGTGAAAGATGGTTCTCTGTCTTCAAGAAGGGATGGGTCCAGTTACTATATGGTCCATTTGAGAGCAAGAAATACCTCAATGTGGGCACAATGCGATGGGAGGAGCAGGGTGTACCGCTGGCTCAGAGTGCATCACCACCACCACACTGGTTTACAGCAGAAACAAGGCAACAAATCAAGTCTGGGCTAACCGGGAAATTAAAACACAGGCCTGACAATGGGCTTGAGGTGGCTAGAGGTAAGCAGTACAGATCTAATCATTTGCTACTGCTTTCTTCATACACTGAATAAGAGAAAATATAATACATTTGAATAAAATACAACAGCAGCAGATGCCATTATAAAAGGAGAGGCAAACGGAAGAAAAGGAGTGAGATTAGAAGGGAAGAAAAAGTAGATCTGAAAGCCTAGAGTGTTTTCGTGAAGAGCTGAGGCAGGACAGGCAGACGGGCCATGGCCATGCTGTTGCGATGACCTGGTAATTAGTGAGCAGGAGAAAACTCAGTCTCTTCCAGTCCAGAGATGGAGTCGCTGTATTCTAAAGCCAGGGACACACAGACCATCCGCCATCCTCTCAAATTCTTATTCTCCCTCCTGCTGATTGGATCTCCTTCGCTCCCCTGCCGTTTGCGGGGTAGGTGAAGGGGGAAAATCTTGTATTTGAATTTTGTGTTAGTCCCGACTACCTAGTAGTCATCTAAATCAAAGAACTCATCATCATCTCCCTGGTATTCCATGCCTTGGAAGTCCACCCGGTACCGCAAGATTCCTGAAGTAAAAGAAAAAGATACTGATTGCAGATATTGATATAACAATATCTTTCCATTTCCCTACAAATCGTAATCTGTAGAAAACACTTACCACCAATGCCTCCAAAGCCTTTCACAAACTGTGAACCCTCCTGGCTTTTGTCTGTAACGATTTCCAGCGTGGCCCCAAACTTCTTGTAGTTGTTAGCGAACCACTCTAGCAGCGGCATGCTCTCAATCAGCTCATGCTCCTGACCTGTCTAAAACAAGCACATACGGTACGGTTAACATTATACACCTCCTGCCTGAACCATACATTGGTTAAAGTGAAAAGCAAACATTATGCAAAAGGTGCAAACTCTTAGTAATTAATTTTTTTCTACTTTAGAAATTATGAGCAAAACAAAAAAGGAAATGTTGAATTTAACAAAAATTCAGAATGCTCTACACTAAAAATAAAGGTTCTTTATTGGCATCAATGGTTACAAGAACCTTCTTCAAGATCCATGGAACAATTCCAATGCACAAAAAGTTCTTTATAATGGAAAAAGTTTCTTCAGATGATTAAAATATTTTTGGTGCCCATCAACTGTTCAGATACTAACATTTTTCAAAATATCTTCTTTTGTGTTCAACAGAAGAACGAAACTCATACAGGTTTGGAACAAGTGGAGGATGAGTAAATGATGACAGAATTTTCATTCTGGAAGTGAACTACTCCTTTAATGAGCTGCATGAACTACACAAGATTGTGTGAAACCTGAAGATCATGTTCCTCACCAGGATTTGAGGATGATCCAAAAAGATCCAAGAACATCTGGATCATAAAGGACTAATTTTAGATCTCTATTTTTAAGCACATTTGTGACATTTGAATCCTAGATATTCAATGCAGTCTTAGGACCCGCAATGTATGATTCTGATAAATCAAAACAGAACTGCAATGAGCTTGGTACTAATGGGCTGATGATAGCCTAAAGATCAAGTGTTTCAAACCTATAGGCTGCTGTTCTGATTTCAGGCCATGAGAACATCATTGGTTGTTTGAGTATGGCACTTAACGCCACAAGAAAGTCATTCGGGAGAAGGAGTTACAGCCATTGGAGCTTCATTACTTTCCACAATAAATAAGATATGCTGAATCTTATATAATCTGAATTTGGTTGACGTGGTTTCACTTACCTCCTTGTCAGTGAAATGAGACTTGTCCTTCTCCTGTTCCGGTGTCAGATAGAGTATCTTTTCATCTGATTACACACACACACAAAAAAAAATAAAAATAAAAAAATAAAAAATAAAAAATAAAAAAAAAAGCGTAAAATGACAAAGGAACCCTTTTATATTTTGCTAATGTGAAATTGTGCGTATGAGACTTTAGGGCGTGTATACCATTTTCTGGTGTAGTATTTTCTCCATGACAGCGTAGGACATAACGCATAGTGTCCAGGTTCTCGTAAACTATAAGAAACAGCCATTGGAGCTTCATTACTTTCCACAATAAATAAGATATGCTGAATCTTATATAATCTGAATTTGGTTGACGTGGTTTCACTTACCTCCTTGTCAGTGAAATGAGACTTGTCCTTCTCCTGTTCCGGTGTCAGATAGAGTATCTTTTCATCTGATTACACACACACACAAAAAAAAATAAAAATAAAAAAATAAAAAATAAAAAATAAAAAAAAAAGCGTAAAATGACAAAGGAACACTTTTATATTTTGCTAATGTGAAATTGTGCGTATGAGACTTTAGGGCGTGTATACCATTTTCTGGTGTAGTATTTTCTCCATGACAGCGTAGGACATAACGCATAGTGTCCAGGTTCTCGTAAACTATAAGAATCTCCACCGCTCCCATCTCCAGCGCTTTGAGTGTGTCTTCAACTCCGAAACAATACTTCCCCGTGTCCTGACTGATCTCATCAAAATATCGGCCTGAAATCAGACACACAAGTCACCACACAAGAAAAAAACAAACAAAAAAAATTATATATATATACAGGTGCATCTCAATGAATTAGAATGTCGTGGAATACTGAAAGCCCAGTGTTTTATGCCACAAAAAATGTATCCAGCATGTCCATTGCCTTTATAAAGCCTGTAAATTAACTACCTATTAGTTTCTTTTCTTGGATGAACTTGACATTGGACAGCACTTCTGCTGAAAGCTCAATGGCCTGGTTGAAACCGTTCTCTCCTCCATACGATATGTCAACCAGCTTCAGAACCTTCGCTTGTAACCTCTACATGTGCAGAAGAACCAAATCAGAAAACAAGCAGAATGATGAATTAAGATTGCAAATAATTTGCTGCAAAGAGAACATACCGGATCAAACATGTCTGACTGGCTGAGCTCCGTCTTGAAGTCGGCCGATCCGGCAAGAACCAGTCCTGCCACGTTGACCTTGTCATTGGACACGAAGAGTTGCACAGCTGTCTCTGCTACCTTACGCACATAGTTATGTCTCTTCTCCATCCTCAAACGTGCAAATCGAAGAGCAGACTGTCCTCCTCTACCTAGAGTTAAAGGAAACAAACGTGTAAATACCAAATTCTACGAAGAACGAAAACAGCCACAGCAAGCGATTTGAAGATGTTTACCGTGTTTTTTGGGCAGGTCCACAGTAAATTTGTGCAACACCTCCCTTGTGTTGCCTTGTAAAGTCCCAAACAGGGCGCCACTACCATCAATCACAATGAAGCCGAACTTGCTGTCGTCTGACAACAGAGCTGTTAGAGCCTGTGGATATAAAAATTATATTAAGTGTTACAGTGTTTTAGATAGATAGATAGGATGTAACGGTACGGTTCACAGGGTAAATTCCAAATGCAAGTGATCATCCCTATGCCCTACTCCCTTCGAAGGGCAGAGCCCTTGGAGTGGAGACTTTGGAATGAGCAGGGCACGTGCGTGCCATTATGTAGCCGTTTGGAATGCACTTGGCAAAGGGAGCGACGTAATTTCCTCATCTTCAGCTGGCATGTTCCCATGACAACGCAGCACGGTGTCAGTCAGCAGATGTCGCTGTTTTAATGGCATAAATGCTTTTTTATTGTTGTTAGTATAACTGTTGCAAATAAACATACATTTTATATTTTAAAAAGTTATATATATAACATATTTAAACAACTTTTTAAAATATAAAATGTATGTTT